TGAATTTGTATTCAAGAACTCATTTAGCATACCATGCTTACAGCTTAGGTGGTATTTATATTTCAAAAACTCAAGGAATAAGCCACATAATGATTGCATGTCAATCCAATCTCTTTATAACACTAGACACTGAACTTTAAAACTCTATATAAATTACTATAACATTTAGTATAGAATGATAATCATAATTCAAACATCCAGAACCATACTTTGTTATTTTTAGTTATAAGGATACAGATTTGCTAACTAAAATTCATCTGTAAAATTGTTTGCCAAAAAAATCTAGTTACTGATTAGAAGATGCCTGATTTGTTTATCAGTGTTCCTATCACTTTTCAGTAATAAATGTTTGTGTTGGCAGAAAGAATAACATATAGCAGAGATTTCCTTCTGAAACTTTCAGGGGTTTCACTTGCCCAAAAGAAGCCAGAATTTCTTCCTGATCATCCTATTGTACTGGAAAAGCCAGTAAGTATTTGAATTTAAAACTGAGTTTGTAGAAATAATTTTACTGACATTTAAATTAAGAGTACAGATTCATTGTATAGTGAAGTTGCAGCATGGATATCCATTTTTAGTCACAATGACAAAATGATGCTGCAGATAATTTATTATGAGATTAATTATCTCTGGTAGTTTAAGGAAGAACCACATTTCTATCACAAATGGTAATTGCTGCTGCTTACTATATTATTTTATGAATAAATGGAAAGAAGTCTGAATATATTATGCAAATATACTCCTTGACCAAGAATGACCTGCATACAAAATCTAAGTGGAGTGCATTTTGTATATTTCATGGTATTTAAAACTATTATCCTTTAGATATAAAAATAAACTGTAAATGATTGAAATGAATGGAATGAGGCCATGGATGTCTGAAGGCTTTAGAATTAATACATAACGGATAGGTGTTCATGATTTTCCAACCATTTGTAAATTTCAAGTGATGTTGCACAAAAGTATATGCCAAAATGAAACCAGATACATGAGGTCCTTCCAAACTTTTCCCCACTGAAATATTGGGGATGGGTTTTATAATGAAAGTAGGATTATACTTGTATATGTATGTGTATATGTGTATGGGTGGTGAGACAGACAAGGAAGAGTTTCAGTAACAGCTGCTCAAACTTTGTAAAAAGCATGCTTCTTTAACAGTGGGGAAAGTGATGCTGTGTTTGTGATTTGCAAAATAAAGAATGCAGCTGTATTTTTTTCTGCATAACACAGATATAATTTTTTCCTGTCACGTTTTTACATGGATTTTGTAAGCTCAAGAACAGGTTTTTCATATTTTTTATTATATGAAGTGTTACATGAATTGTTTAGATTGAGTTATTGCTTATAATTCCATAACTGTGCAATCATTCACATCATGGTTATAAATACACAAACTACATGTGATTAAAAATCCCTGTCTAAACTTTACTAATACAGGTAATCTTGATTTATGACAGCAATAGAGCTTGGAATTCCCATTGCTAAGAGATGCACTTCTAAGGGGGAGAGAGAGAGAGAGAGAGTGCAGGGTGCAGCAAGGGTCAGAAAGATGCTTGGGGTGGTGGTTAGAGAGGGTACACAAGGGTACAGGTGAGGGAGGGTGCATGGGTGTGCACAGGTGGCCAACATAGCATAGGGTAAATCTCTCTCCACAGTGACTTGTGACCTTCCCTACCACCTTCCCCATTGATTTTTTGGGGATGCTAGCAGGGAAGGTAGCAAATGAAGATCACGTGGTTGTCGGTGCTGCAACCGGTTATAAATGCGAACCAACTGTCAAGTGCCCAGCTCATGATCACATGACAATAAGGGTGCTGGGGTGGGCAGAACTCTGAGGACTGGTCATAGCCATTCATTTAGCGTCATTGTAACTTCAAATGGTCACTGAACAAATAATCATAAGTTGCAGATTACTTGTATATCTTTCCAGTGATGATGAGCTTCTGGGCTAATGGGTGTCATCTAATTACAGTACCTGGTCTCCTGACATTTCATCAGCAATTGTGGCTGGCATTTTCTGAGGTGACAGCGATCTGCTTTGTAGCATATTTCTCAGATCTCCTAATTAGACCATAACCTATTACTCTGGAAGGTCATCACTATTAGATTGACACTGGCTGTGAGAGCCTGCATAAGTATATTAGCATATTTTATTAATGAAAATTGAGAAGAGAATGTCTGAAATAACATTAACTGTATTGGATCTAAAAAGCAATTTGTGGAGGGGAAGGTAAAGCTCAGAGTTGCCAGTATGGAATAGTAGTCTTCTGGATGTCCTGTCACACATTCTTTTATCCATAAATATTGCTAGTATACTTTAATTCATTGTTTATATATTTTCCATAGCTCTTTTAGTTATGTCAGAAGATTGAGTTTCTTAAATAATTTTCAGTTTTATCTTGAATTGTGACTCAATCTAATAAATGCAAACATGTTTCAAAGCTTATTTAAATATGTAATGTTTTCTATGAACTAAATGTGTGGGCCTTTTGTTTTGTAGAAAAATTATTGTTTATTACCTGCTACAAGCAATGATAGATCTTTCTGAAGATAAAGAATGCATCTCTTTTCACCACTTAAAAAAATTAAGGAAAAGTGATCTGTAATGTCAATAGACTGAATTCAAATGTATCTTTTACAGTTGGTGTAATCATCAGTAAAGCTATATTCAAGCAAAAATGTATGTGAATCAACTTCAACTTGTCTGATTCTGAACTAGTATTATATTAAGATTTTTGTAGTGATAAAGAAACAACTGAAGCAGGATCATTATCACTTGTCAAGTTTTGGGAATGCTACATATACATTGCAGTAGATTTTAGTTCCTAACAAATGGAAGGCTAATTCCTCACCTTTTATTCTAGCAAAATTCGAAGTATTGAGAATATGCCATATGTCTAACTGCTATAAACTGCTCATATCTTGTGGCTGTTTGCATTTTGACTAGATGCCAATTCATCATAAACTAAACTGAGTTGGGGAACATGGACCCACATGGAATTTGTTTCCATGCTCCAACCTTCTTGCTAGATTGTAGAATCTTTTAACAACAATATGTACAAAAATTGGTATGAACACTGGCATCTGAGGATTTTCACGCCAAACATTTAAATACTAAGAAGCAGAATATGACCATAAAAGATGTAGATTGTCTCATATCCTTAGTCCCAACTTAATTAGCTGTATACAGGCTATGGGACTGTTCTGTATATTACAAATGCCAAGGTGGCACAGTGGTTAGAATCCAATACTTCAGGTTAACTCACTGCTCACTCCAGGAGTTCAATCCTGAGTGACTCAAGGTTGACTCAGCCTTCCATCCTTCTAAGATCGGTAAAATGAGGACCAAGATTGTTGGGGGGCAATGTACTGACTGTAAACCATTTAGAGAGGGCTGTAAAGCACTATGATGTAGCCTATAAGTCCACGTGCTATTACTACTTGTCTTTTTGTTCAATGTTTAAAACTTCCAATTCAATTATTAGGATTTAGGTGCTATATCCTTTTTGAAAGTTTTTTAAAAATATTTTAAATATGTATTGGTTATGTGTCAAGAATTTGGTCTCTACATGTGTCATTCCCTCCCCCCGTCTCAGATTTTGCTGTGTACTCTTTTCCACATTTTTTCCTAGCATTTTTCCAACAACTCCACTTTTTTTGAGATCAACCTAATTCGATCCATTTGTTTAAGATAGAAATTGATCAATTGATTTGCCACCAGAACCTGATGTCATGGGCTGAGAGAGAATATTGGGTCAAACTCTCCCAGCCAGTTTTCATATTTAAGGTGGAACTAGAACTCAGTTTTCTCATTTCTAGCTGATGCTTAAGCTTTAGAACTACTAGATCAAATTGGGTTTCACTTTCTTTTCCACATGATAGCATCTAAATAGTTAACAAGATTTTGAATTCAAAGATACATCTAGTCCTCTAGTACAATGGTCCTCCTAACCTAATAAAGCTAATCAATTACTGTTGTATTTTGGTCCTTTCAAATGTTTCCAATTTATGCAAATATGTTACATTTGTAATGTTTTTCTGGTGAACATTGAACCTTGTATATTACTGGTTATGAATGTAAATGTGGGATGATATTTGCTTTTGTGAAGATTTTTTTTCGTTGCTGTGTACAGAGCAACTAAAGATACGTGCTTTCACTTGGGACAGCATTTGAACATTTACATATGTACAGTATATATTTATCAGACTATTCCCTTTCAAAATAAAGGAAGTAAGCACAATAAGCCTAAGAAATTAAAACATAATAAGACAAAGAAATTAAAGGCATGTGATAAGAAAAAGAAACAGCCAATTTTAGACATCAATGTCAATATTTTTCCATACTTGTCTTTGCAAACTGTTCTTGTTTTATGCACTGTCCATATAGTGTCTTCCTGCCTCCTTTTGAGGTTCTGACTTCAGTTCCATTTTCTTTATCAAACATAGCTACCTTAGTTTTTAATAGCTTAGTTTTCAGGTCCATGATCCCTGTTGCATCATACAGTTTAACGTTCATTGCAAATTATTCAAGTTTTCAGCCAAAACCATAGCATCATCTCCATACAAAGATGTGTATTCGTATTCTCTCTGATGTCAACATAGCTATTCCATATAGATTTCTTTATAAACATAATATAATGAAACTTTTTCTATTAACTATAAATATAAAACAGTAAAATACTTTAGTTTCTTCACAGTTATTTTCTGTACACATCTGACTAACATCACTACACTAATTTAGAAGACAACAATTTCAAACGATGGTAGAAATGATTTTTCAGGGAACTTTACAAAAGACAAATGCAATAGTAAATACAAGCAACACAATACTATATATAAAAAGAACCATGACTAAAACGAATTTGTAGTATTCCATCCAATATTAATCACAACAAATTTTACAACATGGATTTGTTTTTAAATGGAAGAATCTGTCCATGAAAGAATAGTCATGATTTGCTAACTTCAGAGACTATGGTGGTTCTCTAGGTGCTGTTTAATATAAAGCTTATTTTTAAGAAGTATGTACTTCTAGTTGTTCAGGATGCACCAAGAAGCTGAAAAGCAAATATTCATGATTTAAATAATCTCATAACAGTAATTTCCATCAACATTTCAAAGGACTGCTTAGTTTTAAAGTAATTTTGCAGCATGTAAATAGATATTTCACTTTAGTTGTTATACCAGAATAGATTAAAATATACTGACATACATACGGTAAGAAATATTTACAGTGTAGCTTTGTAGAGTGATATGAGCAGCATATAAATTTAATAGATAAACAAATAAACATGAACCTTGCAAAATTCCTACAAGATTACAATATTTTAAATGGCATAATATTCATATCACAATTTGACTAAGACACTTAAAAATTGTTGGGATTTGGCAATCTTTTTTATCTGACTGATAAAACATGATAAAACACAACAGCATAGCTTTAGAGAAAATTGTCATCGGCATATAAGTTTATGTGTTGATTTTAGCCTGATTTTTTTTTTTTTTTAAAAAAGATATCTTTGATATGGGATGGGAGCTAATTAAAATTCATCAATTAACAATTTGGTAAAATGGTGTATTGATAAAAATGTATGTTTGACATTTAAATATTTTTTAATCTGGGAATTAGATTAATCCCATTAGAAAGGTACCATATCTGAAAGAACCCTTATAGATTAACTTTGCCACTTCTGATGAAAGGGATACATGAAGTAGAATATTTCTGGATCTTAAATTTTGTGTGGATACAGAAGAATTTCTTTAACTTTTTGGTTCTTTCTGAATCAGCACTATCTGACCCATGAAAATGATCAATCCTTTAAATTATATCTGGAGGCACCCTTGCAGCAAATAAAACTTAAATGAATCAGAACATTTGAATCATAACTTCTACAACTGTACTCCCTATCAATAAATGCTTTTGAATTATTTTAACTGAATAGAAATGGGTTGGACTCAGTGGCCTCTTCCAACTTTGAGATTTATAGAATCAGAGCAATAATTCAATAGTATAGAACAAATGTCTTCAACTAAGTTTATACAATCCATGAAATCTTAATATTTTTATTCTAAAATTCATACAGGTAATCCTCCACTTAGGAGAATTGGGACTTAGAATTTCCATCAGGCAGTGCAGATGTAAAGTGACATGTCATGTAACTGCATCACTTAGTGACTGCAATCTGGCACTCCCCATTTCCATTGCAGGCCCAAGTCACAATGGTTATTAAGAAGAAAGAGGCAGGAATCCCAGGTGCAGAGCATGAGAATACTGTTGAGGGTGGAGGCCTGGAAAGGTTGGCCATGCATGAGTTGGTGGAGGGAGTGCAGTGTTGTGTGAACTCAGGAAGACCAGAAAAAGAATATGATGCAGCTCAGGGGCTTCCTGGCACTCCATGGCTCTCGGGCTGCAAAAAGCCCCTGAGCTGCAGCATGAAGTCTAGCTGCAACCTGGCCCAGCAGTACACCCACAAAGCTTCAGTCTACCTTCATGATCCTTGCTGACTTGGGACCTGCTACCCTTGCTGACCTTTGCCACCTTTCCCCTCTTCCTGATGGCTGAGGATTTAGGCATAGGGTATGGCTTAACTTGCAAAACTTCTCCCCAGGAGGGCAAGCTGCAAAGACTCCATCGCTTTTGCAGCAGATGCTACCAGAGGTGATCTTTGCAGAAGGTGCTTCCAACAACAGCTGCAGGGTGTGCACTGAACCTCTGGACCACCGGTGTCCTCCACATCCCCCAGTTCTGCCACTACCCTGAACAGTATCTCCCACACAACTTCCATGTTTGTTGGGGAGCTGCTGCTGGCTCTCTTGCCTTGCCTGGCAGTGGAGAACACTGCTGTCTCACTGCTAAGCCTAGCCACCTCGTAGGGCAGACAAGGCTTTGTGGTTTTGCTATGCTCACTGTGCACATCCCATGGCTACACCCTCACCCAATACTTGAATCCTGGCCCTGCACATGAAGAAAATGGTAAACATCAGCCGTGGGAGGTGGCGGCAGTGGGGGGGGGGCAAGGATATGTAGGATAGGGCACCCAAAAAGGCAGAAATGGGACTATAGGTGGGGGGTGGGAGTCACTATAGCTTTAAATGTGAGAGGGCCCAAATTTTGATCACATGATTGTAGGGAAGCTGCAATGGCAGCAACTTCAGGGACTAGTTAGTCTATTTTTTTCATTGCTGTCATAACTGCTGAATGAATGGTGGTTGAGGTAAATTCACCAGGTGTTTTTTTGTTTTTGTTTTTTGTTGGCAACATTTACAACTTGGCATTATGTGTGCAACTAAATTAGGCTACTATGTCTTGTTTACTGTTTGCAGAAACAAAGCAAAGCAAAATAAAGTTATGACTAACTTTAACAGAGGTGTATTTGGAATTGACAAATACGCCTCAGTTAATCTCTAATGCCACCATGTATTCAATGAGATTTATACTCTAATAATATTTTCCAAATGGATATTTATTTGTTACTGTTTCTTAGAGTAGAACTAAATAATGATTGGGAAGAACACAAGGAAATAACAAACACTTAAAGTAAAAAAAAAAAAAACATTACCAGGAACAAGCATAGTTGTAATGTTTTCTGGAGTCTCCAGGCAATCTACATTACTTCTTTGGAATGACTTGCTATAATTCATCTGGAGATGACTGGAGAAATAAGTAATATTTACCTAAAGTCATTCTTACAACATTTTTTGTTTTACATTTTATAGTATTAAAATGTACCATTAAATTAATCATGAATAATACAAATAGCCCAATCCAATCCTAGCTGTTCCAATTCACAAATGAATGCTTCAGATGTGCACAGGCTCATAACCAGACAGAACTCATTCAGAAACATGATCTATGATTAAACTGTGTCAATGGGGCAGTGTGCAGTTGTGAATTGTTTTATCACAGAGCTTCTTATCTAAAAACAAGATAGGGCCACCATGGGCTTCTGAGATATTTGCTCTGGGGCTACACTTTTATGTCCAAAATGAGTTTTCACATGTAAAAATATTGCCATATTAAAATGTATTCTGAGTTTTGATGAATTAGTATTTTCATCTCTAAATCTATTAGAATCAACTGATGCTTTTATCACATTCTTTTACATTGCCTTCTGGCCACGAAAATCTTTTTATATTTTAAGGTTCAGTATTAGGGACGTGGTGGCTCAGTGGCTAAGACGCTGAGCTTGTTGATCAGAAAGGTCGGCAGTTTGAATCCCAAGCACCACGTAATGGAGTGAGCTCCTGTTATTTGTCCCAGCTTCTGCCAACCTAGCAGTTTCAAAGCATGTAAAAATGCAAGTAGAAAAATAGGGACCAGCGTTCCGTGCATTTAGTCATGCCGGCCACATGACCATGGAGATGTCTTCTGACAGCGCTGGCTCTTCAGCTTTGTATTGGAGATAAGCACCGCCCCCTAGAGCCGGAAACGACTAGCACATATGTGCGAGGGGAATCTTTATACTGCTGGAATAGGAAGTTGATATTTTTCAGAAAGGTACCTATAAAAGTAGCAATGTTGGTTCCTGATTAAAGCAATTAATTCAGAAGAGTGACATGCAGTAAACTGCTTATATTGCCTAAGCATGCTGATGCTGATGGATAATAGTGTTTTAGAAACCTACTTACCTGTTCCAGGCGTTATTTTCCCAAAATTCATAAACAATGAAACAGGATTTGCCTGAAAGTTTCTGGATAGAAACGCTAAAATATAAGCACAAAAATTATTTGGATAGAAAACAGCTTATATTTACATTTATTTAAAAACAGTTTTGTCTCTTTTTCAACTTTGGATTGGTATAAGCCTAGTGACAATGCCTAGTTTCTGTAATATGAAACTAAGTTAAAGCTCACCCTTTTTTATGACCATGAGAATGAAATTTTAAATAAATCATTCCAGCACTACAACCTCATATAAAACTAGTTGAAAGCCAAAATGCATTTGCAATAAATGGTACACTATTCAGAGGAATTTTGAACCTAAGTTTGAGCAGAATATATTTTAGCAAAAAATAGTAATTTCTTGGCCATAGCATAGCAGCCATGTGATTTGTAATGTAATAAAAACTTGACATTCAAAGTTAAACTTTTCAATAATGAAATATGTGAACATATGCATAATTATTTTTATTGAAACTTTAAAAATTGAAATACTGTTAGTTTTTGGAAAAAGGAAGAAGAATTGAATCTAACCTCCCAAAATTTGATGAATGGAAATTCATAATCTGATACCTAGAAACTACACAAGGAGTATCTCTGAAAGCACACAATTCCTTATTCAACTGGTAAGCTTTGTAAGAAAACCTATTTCCTTGGATATTTGACCCTCAGCTGAATGAAATGGAAATACTCAATTATGTGATGCAGCTACTTGGGTAATTACAGCAAAATGTCAAATTTGAGAATTGCCAGCAGATGGCACCATATGCATGGAAAATGATACATAAGATTAAATGGAAATTCTCTTAGTTTTCTGTATCTTTATCAGATTACTGATGTTAATTAGTTTTTCACTTGGACAATAGTTTCTAGTAAAAGTGTTGTAATCCTATTCCACTCACATTCTTTTGTTCACTGTAACTTCATGAATTTCAGTAGATGTTACTTTGACAAAATGGACAATATTTATATGAATAGCTAAATATAATGCAAATATATATTTGTTTATATAGCTCTGAACTAGATTTGACACCTAATTTGTTTTGTCAGCAATAATCTGCAGTAACATGCAAACAGAAATTGAAATTCAACCTTTGAGAAAAATCTAATCTATGCATCCAAATAAATTGACTGGTTAGTCATAATTTGTTAACTTTCTGGAAATCAGAAAGTAGAGCATGTTATACAATGTGCTATAATGTAAAATATCTCCTTTTTAACAAAAGTTTGCAGTTAATAATAGAAATTGTACATCTTGAATGATTTATACAGTAATATTGGTACTCTGAAAGAAATTATCAGGTGGTATCAGCAAGGTGCTTGACATAGGAAAGCACTAATTCACTTATTGGTTATCATTTGTACATTCAAAAACTAACCTTTACTACTTGTATTTACTCAAAAGTAAGTTCTATTCAGTGAGATTTACTTCATAAAATGCATGTTTGGGGTGCATTTAAACCTTGTAGCTGACACATCTGAGGAATAAGGCCACTCTATTCAGCCAGATTTATACCTAGGAAAATAAAGATTGTCTCTTCTATCTTATTAATGGTGGCCTGATGTTTACTGTGGCCCACTGTGGCATTTATAATTCCAAGAGAACAATATAATGGAGATACTACATTTGCTGAATTAGCCAGCCTAGGATGTTTTATAAATGTTCTTTATTAATGATTTCCAATGTCTCCCAAAGTGCAATCTCCCTAAAGTATAATGACCTGCATTCTTCCATTCCTTGAGAATGACATACTCACTGCAGACATCCATCCTGAGAAGAGGCCATATCTACATACTGCTTTAGAGCAAAGCGGAACGGCTCTAGTTCTTCTGTGATTACTGACATCTGACGCTGAACAATCATTATTTGCTGGCAAAACAGTAACGCAGTCCAATTAATTGACATTAACTATACTGTCATCAAATTATCTTTTTTTTTCATTTTTAAAGCTTATTCTGAGATTGCTTTTCAAGTTCTTCTTTGTAACCCCAGCCATGTTACTCTGGCTCCACTCACGTTACAACCCTTTATATCCCCTAAAGTTTTTTTTTTTTAATCAATTCTCGGTTTCTCTTTCACATGCTATCTTGCTTTATGAATTCAACATGTAAAAATGCTTCTAAAGCTTACTTCTAATATATGTTTATCTAGGCTTTTAAAGCAGTTTATTAAGCTAGAATGCATACAAAGTGACATTAGCTGGGATAGGAAATATTCAATCCTTTTGTTGATTTTAAAATGGGTCAGTCAAAAAATAGCTAAGTCTGAACCCAGCTCTAAAGATCAAATGATAAAACAAAAGCAAAGTTTTTCATGTTTGAGTGCAGGAGTAGAGGAACGTGTAAATAAATAAACTTGTGTGATTTTGGATCATGTTTCTAGAAAGCCTTTATTTGAAACAAGTGCCAAAAAAGGTTGTGGATTGAAAGAAGATGCCAGCCTTAGCAGAACAGATTTAGAACTCTTGTTCCTTCTGCTTTCCCATTCATATGGATTCCATGGGGTGGAATTGAGAAATATTACTTACAGATTTAGTATTTCCTTCTGAAACCTCTTCTAGTGGCTCAAGCTTTAGGTCCTTGTCAACCAATAAAGGGGAAATACAAAAGTATAAGGGTTATCTAGTGCTTTAACAATCTTCAATAATAATAAAAATACTGTGATTCCTAATCTATTTTTGTAGAAAATATCATATAAAATGGAGTGGAATTTAAAGATATTGAAAAGATTATTTTCCCTTCTTGGGGAAATAGTCTAGCACTGCCCTGTGGATGCAATAGCTTGTGTATGGAGATAACTGACAAGGGCTCCATTTTAGGAGTCAGCAAAATACATCTATAGAGGTTTTCAGAATAGTTACAAATATTTCTACCATCAAATCTTTTCAACACAAGATTATGCCAGGGGAGCATCATATCCTGCCAAGAAGAACCCTCTTCTGATTTATGACTGACCATAAAATTCAATTTTTATGGTCAATGTATTTCCTCTTTTTCAGAATTAAAAACTACTTTTGTCTGGAATTGGTTGAAGATGGTCCACATGACAAGCATTGGGAAATATGGTTGCTACAATGTTAAAGCAATCAACAGATAGTAGATTAAACATGTTGGCAGATGGTGATACATTAATAATTTCAGCTGGTCAAATCTGCAGTAAAATAGGATTTGCAATGTGTGGTAGATTAAAAGATAATCTACTTGTAAAATATAACTTTTTAAAAAATATGGATTAAAAATATATATCCTGGTCAATCAACATGCATCCTTTCTCTTAAAGGCAATCTCTCACGCCTCCTGGAACTTCCTTTATGCATGTTGTTTAATGATTAATAGAACTATCTACTCTATAATGAAAGGCAATAAAGATATTAAGAGAACAAGAGTGGGTCTTAATTTTCTCTGTGAATTCACTGTGTACTTTTTGTAATATACTAGTTTTTGTTGTTTACCTGCTCAATGGCAAAGAAATATTTGTATTTTTTTTTCCTGATACAGTTGTGGCTTTTCTTGAACTTATTTATTTTTAAATAAAACTTCCTTCTATTTTTTTTTTATTAACTCACAACCCCTGTTCTAATTCGTATCATATTCAAACTGGATCTATCTTTTGTCAGCTTCTCTCACCACACAAAATTTTATTCTGTTGTTGAAAAGTTGCCCTATCAATAAGTGGATTAACAGACTCCTTAAGTGCTGGAGATAATTGACATACCCTGTACTGTACTGCTTTTTGGTTTAGTGAAAATATACAAAATAGTTGGTGGCATGAACGGGGTCAATGAGGAGTACACATCAATGTGTCCTCTTTCTAGAACAAAGTAAACTTCAGAGATTCTTAAACAAAAAAGAAACCTTAAATATTGGATGAATCCTATTTCTTACAGAAGCTTCCAATAGCAAAGAGGGATGTAATGAAGTTGTCATGCACACCTTCTGTTCTAGCTTATCAATCAGCTTCTGAAGTCTGTTTATTTGGGTCATCCACTGGTTGTCCTCCTTCTGGAAACCTTTGTAAAACATAACATACCTGAATTGAAATATGATTGAAGATTGTACTTGCTTAATAAGACACACTTTTATGATATCTATGTATTGTTTCTTGGAGAGGGAGGGGAGTTTTTGTTTCACTGGACAAGTGGTGCAAGTAAAGTATAAATCCCATGTTGATTCTGTCTTGATTTAAATCTTTCTACTGCTGCTTTCTTTTGAAAATGTAGAAATCTCATTCCTCATGGATTGCTTGCACTGGATCAACCCCCGCCCCCCCAAATAAATATTAGTAAAGATAATTACACCTGCAAGTTGAACTCAAACCCTCTGAATTTTTTGGGGGCAGCCATTTCTTGGTTTGCTTTCTTCTGTTTTTTAAACTCCCCTTTGTCACCAATAATCTTGGAATTTATTATTTATGCACATACATAAACCACTTCTTATTTAAAACACTTCACAGCAGTTTAAAACTCCAAAATAGTTCCTTCTGTAAACTCTAACCAGGATAAATTTTGCTTAATTTCTGAGAGCAGCCAAGACTGGGTGTCCTGCTAAAGTGAATATTGGTGGGAAGAAAATTCCTTCAGAAAGTCAAGAAGAGGTTTGTATCAACCTGCCAATTGTTCAGAAGTGGGGAGATAAAATATATGTTCTCCACATCCAACTACAGTAAAAACAGGCCATAAAGGTAGAAATGGCATTTTCATTACAGTGGATTATCAGGATGAATATGTGGCTATTTTAAATTATTTTGTATACAATATATTTGTTTCTGAATATATTAAGATGTATATCTAAAATATTATAATTCAAATACATTGAAATATTTTAAACCCTGCAAGACATTTAGTTTAGTTTACTTTATTGTCATTGTACCTCGTACAACTAAATCAAACACCATCTTCAGTGCACATCATGACCATGACCATGAAAATAAACACAAACACACATCCTTCACCCTTCATACATTGAACAGGAAACCCCCGACATCACACCACTGCACTATACAGCAGAATTCAAAAGAGCTACTGCCCTGGGATAGAAGCTGTTTTTCAGCCTATTTGTCCTTATTTTTATTATTCTGTACTGTCTGCCAGATGGTAATAGTTCAAAAAAAGGGTGCCCAGGATGAGATAGATCTTTGAGAATGTTTTGAGCTTTCTTAAGGCAGTGGGAGCTATAAAGCTCTTCCAAAGAGGGGAGAGGGCAACCAATGATTTTCTGGGCAATCACATTAACCCTCTGGAGTGCTGTCCTATCTGCAATTGGTAAACCATACAGTATGTTAAAATGCTCTCTATGGTGCAGCGGTAGAAGGTCACCAGCAGTTTCTCATTCAGTTGTTGTTTTCTGAGAAGCCTCAGGTAGTATAATCTCTGCTGGGCCCTTTTGACCAGGGCTGCAATGTGAGCACCCCAGGTCAGGTCCTCTTTTAGGGTAACACCCAGAAACTTAAAAGTGGCCACTTGCTCCACTCGGTCTCCATTGATAAGCAAGGGCTGAATGTCTGATCTGTTCTTTCTATAATCCACTATAAGCTCCTTGGTCTTATTGGTGTTGAGGACCAAGTTGTTGTCTCCACACCACGAAAGCAACCGGTTCACCTCATCTCAGTAGGCAGACTCATCCCCCTCGGAGATAAGTCCCACCACTGTTGTATCATCTGCAAATTTAGCAATGGTATTACTAGCGTGAGTGGGAATGAAGTCATGCACATAAAGAGTATAGAGTAAGGGACTCAACACACAACCTCTTTGGTGTACCAGTGTTAAGAATAAGGGCTGAATAGGTATGATTACCTAATCTGACCCTCTGTGAGTTGCCAGACAGGAAATCCATAATCCAAAGGCAGATTGAATTAGAAAGCCCAAGGTCCAGAAGTTTAGACACCAGTCTGTGTGGAAGAATTGTGTTAAACGCTGAACTAAAATCCACAAAAAGCAGCCCTCCCACTGTTCTAGATGACTCAGAACAATGTGATTTAAAGTTAGCTGCAGATTTAAAGTTAGTTGCAGATATCTGGCAGATTTAAAGCCAGTACTGTACACAAACAACATATTAAAAATGATCAGAATATAAGAAATGATTGATTATATACATTTTTTTCAAAAATGAAATTTATTTCTTCATTTTATATGATGTCTTACTTGCATGGATTTTAAAGAATGAATAAACAATGGTAAATATTAAACAACATTACCTGGGTTCAAAAGAGGACTAACTGGAGAAAAACTATTATTTCTCTGGAGCCTTCGACCTGAACGTCTTCCTGGATGTTGTATTTTGAGAACCTCTGGCTTCTTTGGGACTTGCCTTTAGGGGAAAAAACATATAAAGCAGTTCAGTATTTAAATTATTTATATGTTGAATCTATTTGCAACCCTTTACATAGAGAAACCTTATTAAACTTGCTCACTGTTTTTGTCTGTCACAAAATTGACCCTAAATACACTGGTCATCTACATAAAAACCAGTTAGAAATAAAACCAGCAACAAAAATACAGACCTAGATAACATTATTTGTGTTTCTATACTGAGTTAACATGATTATATAAAAAGTAACAGATCCCAATATATTTATTATATTTATATCTTTATTTTTATCCAATCTTGAGTAAGGAGATCAAGATAGGATTCTCTCTTATATGTTCCCATAACAAGAGTACTGTGAGGAAGGTTGAGAATGTCTGCCTGAAGTCCTCTTGCGAGAACGAGAATCATGAAAGATCACTTTGGGAGTGACAAATTGTGGACTAGGCAATGGAACAGAAAGCTCCAAAATAGTTCCTTTTTAGTTCAAAGACAGTGGAACCAGAAAAAAGAACAGCTCATCAATGCAAGAGCTCTCTTGACATCACTACCTGGACATGGATTCATTGGGAAGGAAGAGTCTTGAAATAGAAGGAATAGTTAGGGAATAATTTATGGACCACAGCTACTTTCAAGCAATTTAACTACAAATCTCAGGGCGGGTTTTATTTTATATAAAATAAAAGTATCATTCTGTAAATTACAGTAATTGAGCAAGACATTAGTCTACAGCAGCTTTCCTAAAATAATTTCTACCATGTAAATTATTACCACTGTGACACAATAGTAAGAATCTTACTGCTCTTGTTGGGTTTGTTCTTCTGTGGTTTCCATGGCGCATTCCAGGGAATTATGTAGAGATTGTAGTTGATTCAGAGTTTCTTTTAACAAGAAGCGAGTTACAAATTGTTCCAAAGTAGAAGCTTCTTGATAATTCTAAAACAAATAGGGAAAACTAGTAAAAAGAAAAAGCTCAACATTTTTCAACTACAAGTACTTTCTCCCAAATAATAGTTCCTTACAGTCATAATTCTAAAATTAGATTTGGTATGTTCCAATTGTTATTCCAAATGGAAATTTGGGGGAAAAGTTAACAATGGTAAACCATATCTACATTCTTTCAAGAAAAAATATGTATGTTTCAAACTGATCATCAGGAGTCAGCCTTGTGGCAAGGTAAGTGGTCCTTGGAGGCTGAAAGAAGGTTAAATCAAATTAAATCATAATATGGTTAGTTTGATTTTGCTTATTGTGTTTGAATTCCTCCATTGTAGATTGTAAACCATGATTTAGGATATTATCCAATTCAAATGCTTGGGGTTTGTTCAACAAATCATGGTAAACAGCAACAGTCTATGAATGGAGATACTGTGACTCATTCAATTATGATTAAAACAAGTCAATAAGTAAAAAACTTATTAGGTACTGGACAGTATTACTTTGCATTCTTGTAACATGTATTCAAGATTTGCTTTATTTTTAGATTATTGGAAGATAAACTTTTTAGTTATTTATATTTTCACCTTGTTGAATCCATTCTCAATCAAATAACTTGCCATATATAGCACCACAAAGAAACTTTAAAAATGTTAAGGGCAAATTAACATTAGAGCATGCTTATATTCCAATGACTTTTAAAAGTAAAAAATGACCAAATGGCCAATATAAAAATCAGTATAATACAGATTTGTAATTGTTAAACCTAATTTTTAAAAAAATCTATCTACCCCTCATTTAAAAATGAAAAGAATTCAGGAACATTGATGAAAAGGTCTACTACTATAAAACCTCACCTGAATTCTCAATGAAGGATTCTTGAGAAAAGCATCTGTTCCCTTATCTTCCCCTTGAAGATGCTCAGCCTTATCCCCTTCCACCCATCCAAATGATAAGTGACTCTGCCCAATTTGTGAGATTTCCGATTAGGTAAGATAGTGAAGATTTCCATTTTCTCCAGTATAAGACTTGCTACAAATATTACGTGCAATACTTTAGCTGTGACCTTGGGGATCCTATTGGCTGCTTTTAATAGGTTACATACTGCTGCTCCTTCTGCCCTGCAATTTACTCATCAACCATAGCATTTTTGTTTTGTAAGTCAGTGGGCCAACACATGAAGAAGCCAATGTCCTAGAAGGGAGGAGCAGGACAGTGCAGGCCTTTACCACTCTACCCTTGATTTAACTATCCAACTGCCTACCCAGCACACAGATCATCTGAAGATGTTATAGGTGGTACATGTGATGAGCTAAGGCATTCTAGTAAAACAAGAATGGAAAGATACCACGGTGAAGATGAAGCCTGCCATTATTGTCCTCTATCAACTTGCCTCCTCACCCATCCCCAGCCTACATTAAGGAGAATGATTTATGGGGGTCTCACTGGCAGAAACTCCATTAATAGCCACATCCTTATTTGCCCCACAGCAAATAAGATATTAAGATAGCAACCCCTGCCAAGTCAGACTTAAGGACCGGCTATGAGGATGGAGCAAATAATGTCATGATCATAGATTGGAGGAAAATTGGTTAAATCAATGGTCCGAATATATTCTTTATGACTTCAAATGGTTTTTATATCAGCTTGTTTCAGTATGTGTTGTATAATTACAAAATCATAGCAGTACAATAATACAATTCAGTGAGTAGGGATCAAATATAAGCTATCTTGAGTTTCATAAGGAAAGCAAGGAAGAGTGTAACATTTTTGTTATTACAGATATTATATTTATTTTTTAAAAAAAATTAGGCCAGAAGTATATCTTATTTCTCTTCTGTTTTGTGGTAAAAGATTAAGCAGTTATTGAAAGCCCAGTTGTAGCTCATCTTAGAAATTGTCTATATTAATGGATAGCAGAAGGCATATTTTTTACAAATATTTATTTAGCATTCATGAACATTAATCAAGCCTATAATACCACCAGTCACAGTAGCTGTTATTTCTACAATTAAGAAATGGGAAGAAAAATCCTAAGAAATTAAATTATATGTCACTCCCTGCTTTTAAGCTGATAGCAACTGCATGAAAATATTTGTGGCTGATTTTTGAAAGTGTCAGAACTCATTTGTACAAGTAAGGCTAATTTCTGTCTTCCTCTACGTTATTTGACAAGGCTGTCTCTAATTAGATTAAGGTTGATGTTCCTGGAAAACATAATATAATTGCTAGTGGCTGTCATTCTCTTTCATTCTCTAGACATGAGGGAGAATGTTGCCAGAAACAGATAACTTTTTTCCAGTGGACGCCTACAATTATTTGCCTTAATTATACCACAGTAATTATATTTTTTGTGGCAAATGAAGAAAGACAAATGAATTATTAGGAAATCCACCTTTCCTGTATAAAATTCAATAATATAAAAGGTGTATTTACTTCCCTTAGGGATGGGTCTTTCAAAGTCTGCCAACATCACAATGTCTCCTGGGCCAAGAATTTTGCTTTGGGAATTAATGTACAAAATAGTTTCAATCATGCTGATCTATGTTGTTTTCATCTTTTTTCTTCAAAGAATAACAAAATTTTCTAAATTTCTCATGAGTTCTCCTATTTATAATTAGCTGCTAAATAGCCAGAAGTGTATAGGAATGATCTGTACTCTCAGCTCTTCATTAACTGGCATTCTTTATATGAATGGTGAATTGGCAGTGGTAGGTTGTCCCATTCCGTTTCTGCCTTCCCATACTTGTTAAATTCAAAAGGTTATCCTACAGAGTATCTATATGGGTGAAGTTTGCCTCCGCTCTATCCTTCTGGAAGAATCTGAAGACTTGGCTATACCAGTTAGCCTGGGGGCCCACTGGAAGTGGCTACGGGACTAATTAGCTGACCCCACCTCCCCCCTGCACTTTCTGCTCCTCCTCCAGATATCTTTTTAAAACTTTCATATTGTACTTCCATTGTTTATTTATTCCTCTGCTATTGTTATGTTTCCATTTTTATCATATTTTATTCCATTTTATGCCTTTAATCTGGTTCTCTGGCTATATAGTATGGCCAAGAATGCAATTTCAGAAGTTCTTCTCATTCTCCCATAAATAAGAAGAAATATTTATAGCTCTAGATTGCTTTTCACACCAGCTCTATTCTTGGGTATTTTGATAATGTTAGGCAATGTCTTACACATTGATGATTTTACCTAATTGGGTTATAAAACATCTGCAAGCAAACATATACTTTTTTTATTGGAAGAATTTCAGCTTATTAGATTTTTAAAAATTGATTATGGGTTTCTTTTTAAACAGACAATAGAATAGGCTTCTTAAAGTTGTCTCATTCTTAATATAGACTTGTGTAGGAATATTATAGCAGTCCTCTGGATTATTGCAGTTCAGATATGGCAACCTTATCTGTGGGTTGTTGATGTTGCTTGAGGAAAACAGTGGTTCATTTGTAAACACATATTCAGCATGTTCTTCAGGTTTAGACTCTAGCCCCTAGCATCTCCAGTTCAATATACAGGAAATCCTTGGCACAAAATTTATGTTGCTAAGAGAAGTGAATTTTTGCCTCATTTTATGACCTTTCCCACCATAGTTGTTAAGTGAATCATTGCATTTGTTAAATTAGTAACATGGTTGTTAAGTGAATCTGGCTTCCCTGTTGACTTTGGTTGTCAGAAGGTCATAAAAGGGGATCATATGTCCCCAGGATGCTGTAGCCATCATAAATATGAGCCAGTTGCCAAGCATCTGAATTTTGATCACATGACCATGAAGATGCTGCAACGGCATAAGTGTGAAAAACACTTATAAGTGGTTTTTTAGTGCCATGGTAACTTTGAACAGTCACTAAATGAATGGTTGTAAGTCGTGGACTGTCTATAATCCTGGGTAGTCTGATTGTGACGTTTGATTAGGAAAATCCTCTGACTGAAATCTATTGGAACCACTACTGGTCAGTATTTTCTTATGTGTGTCATTTCTTATCCACAGCGTGAGATTACCCCAGACATTTAAGTGAAAAGGCTGTACAGCACAATGATAGAGCTCAGCCTTGAGATACAGGATAGTTGGCTTCCAGGTAAAGTTCAGTGGCAAAAGAAACATGGAAGGAGCAGAGATGGCATTGTGCTGTAGATTGGTAGCCACACGGCAAATTTTAATTTGTATTAGTTCTTATTGGCAGGGCTTTTCTGCTTTGGAGCTTGTACTATGGCATCTTCCCCCCATCTGCCAGGTGGGATTGATCTCATATCTTCTGAGCTTCTGTAGGTCCCTTAAGATCTGGTTACACCAGGGGATGGATGAAACAAGTGAGGGGGGGCTCCATTATTATTAAGATTCCTATGCCTGCTACTTCTTTGTTTTTGTTTTGTGTTTATTATCTTTTATTATTTAAATGTTTAATAATTAATAATAATGGTTTTTAGGTGTTTGTTGTAGGGGATAGTTACAGAATCTTGCAAATTCGATTATGCTTCTTTTCCCTTCCCTGTTATACTCCAGTGAGTGAGTGAGGATTCATCTGAATCTCTTCTTAATACTCTCTGCCTTCTCAGGACTTGAAGGGTACTTCTGTTTTCTAACATTCTGAACCTGGGACCTTACAAGTTCTTATCTTCTGTTTAGCCAGCCTCTTGCATCTTTAAGAGAAAACCTGTGGACATTATCCATTTCTCATGAAGTTATGGGAGTGAGGGGCCTATTATATATCTTCTTTTTGTTACCCTTGTCCTTTGAAACATCTTGCCTTCCAAAACATCCCCAACTTCCTAGCCTTTAGAAAGCTATTCAAATCCTAAGTGTTCTGTAAAACATTTGGAGGGTATTGATGATTGGGATGTCTGGAAATAGACATTAGATTAATTGCTTCTTGGTATGCCTGTGTTTTGGTTAATGTTAAATGCCTTGAACTAAGTATACATCACTTTAATAATAATATAGAGCTGCTTGGAATTGGGCTGGCATATACTTTTAATAAATTATTACTGTTATTAT